TGTCTTTGTATCTGTACAATCCAAGGTATCCCAAAAGTCTTGAGCATCAGTATTAACTAAATATCAGTACGTATGTCCCCCTTCTAATTACAAAGTTAATATCTTTACTGCTAAGGTACAGGCATAAACTACTGTTAAGACCACTTAATTGTATAGAGTATGTATGAACTACAGCACTTCTACCAATTAAGCAAAAATGCCTCTTTCAAAAGTTTTTGTTTGTTTTCTTTAATATAGGAGTTCCTAGCTTTAGAAACCAATGAATTACGTAGGGCAATGGTAATTCTTCTAAGAGTTCCCATTATCCAGAAATACCTGTATTTGGATTGTAAAATATAGTTGAAGAGCTGATTTTTCTTCTCCTGTAATCTTTCTGGTTTTGCATTGTAGAGTGCTTGTTCTGGACACTGGAAGGATTCTAGAATATGATACACCACATAATTTGTTACAACAGAAAGGTGCCTTTTCTGAAATGGTTGCAGAGGCTGGGATAAGAAGATAAAGAAAACTAAGGAGTTAATACTCAATGAAGACAAGAATTCCTTACTCCAGTAAACACTGGAGGGGTATCTGGCATTCCACATATCTATGGAGTATTTTATATTCCATTTCAAATGACTAGCTTGCTCAAAAGCTCCTCACAGCATTGCTTTTTACTACAACTACAATCTGTATATATTGGTCAGGTTTCTTAAAATCTTTTCTGATTTTATGCAAATCACTTATTTTGATCATATTGGCACTGGAACAACAGAATGAAGCAGTAATTTTCATGGCATATTTTAACTGTTGCACTAGTAAATGCAAACTGAAAAATCTTGTTGTTCACACACTGTTTTTAATTAAAAATAATATTTCGTTAAGTTGCTCTGACATTGTGCCCATTTACTTCTTAATTATGATTGCAAATTCATTAAGACCCCGAGATTGTGTATTCTGTGGATATATAGGCAGATGTCTCTTGGTGCTGATTTTTAGAACATGCATATTTGCATATGTACTTGGGTAATTCTTGAGGCAATAAACTTGACACATTGGATTAGATTAACTTGCTTTTTGACCTTATGATTTCTGAATAACTGCAAAAATATTCCATATAACTGAAACCCACATCTACCGTATCTGAGCATTACAATATCACATTGTGACACGGAAAAATTGTGTCAGGTGCAGCTATCTCCTTGCTAGTAGGTTTTATGCAAACCTCAGTACTAATTCAGCAGCAGAACAGGTTATGTACATGTACTAAAAGTGTCAGGTGAACATGCCTGTGCTTCTCTAGGCCACATAAGTATTAATTATCATTTTTATTACAGTCCTTGTAACTCTTCAAATTTAATACCTACTGAATCACTGCAGCCTTAGCTTAAGAAAAGATCCCCAGCCACTGCTTTAAAAATGTAGAAAAAATCCACAAGGTACATGAATATAGTTTAGGCTCCAGCCCCGTTAAATTACTTTAATCTTGACACCTGGTTACTATCTAGTAGGATCTTAATTTTTTGCCTGATAGCAAGCAAGCCATATCTGCTGTTTTAGAAAGGTGGTGAGAAGCAATGGGGGCTCTCTGAAGAAAGTTCCTCAAAGATGTGATTCTACTACAGTGAAGGTAAGTGATTCTCTATCCTCTTCTGAAGGTAAAAAAGAAAACCTGTCTTCCTACGTTACACAGTACCATCATCACAGAATACTATTGGCTGCAAAACACAACTAAATATACTATCACTTACACAAAACAAAATGATTTTAGATTAGGAACAGCCCTGCCCAAGTAACTATTACCTTCAGAAAGTCCTGGAGAGACTAGTGTGAGAGACTCTTTCTCAGGAGAGAGAGCAGCTTTCTGCTTTTCACCTTCGCTTTCTTCTTCTTTTCCCCAAGTGAGGCCATCAGTACCTTCAGAGCACGCACCTTGCCTCCTGCTGTCTCCTCCAAACAGCAATTCTGCATTTTGAGTTAAGGTTCCAGTTTCATCCTGTGGGGCTATTCACAGACACCTACCGCCTGTGACTGCTCCATATGGGCCAGTAACTGCCAAGATCCCCGAGGAGGTGCTTGGGCTGTGCTCAGAGGGCCTCTGACAGGGCAGGAGAGCTTCATTTGGCTGGAGATAATACAAGGGACACAACTGTTCATCCCTTTGAGGAGCTACTGGTTGGCCTCCTTTTTCAGGCAGGTTGCTTGGGTTAGGGAAAGGAAGAGTGGGGCAGCCAGAGTGTCAAGGGCAGAGTCTAACAATGAGGCTTAGGACACCCTGACTCTTCACAGGAAGAAGCGTGAAGCAGATCTGATCTTCAACTTTCTCCCCACCGCGTTCAAAAATAACACAGGCAGCATCTTTTCAGGTGTTCCCTCCCTCGGCCCTGCTTCTAGCCTTTGCTCTTCACTTTCCTGGCAGTATCACAGGAGAAACTGGACAGCTGAGGGGAAACCCTTTTTTCCCTGCGGGAATACACACATTTCCGCATTTTGCAGCCATAGTTGATGTCCTTGTACTAACCTGCTCTTTTCTTCTCAGTTCTGTTCCCCCACCCCAAACCGCAGCTTGAGGAGAAAGGGTTTTTTTCCCTTCATACCCCAGTTCCTCCCAGCTGTGTGTGCCATGTCCCAGGGAAGATCTGTCAGTCCAGCAACACCTTGATAACCTGAGGGATTATGACCTCATTCTCTACCAGCGCTGTTACAGAAACTGAAACAAAGATACAGCCAAGGGACAGAAACTGCTTTTATTAAAAACATTCTAAAAGGTTATTTATAAAATGCATTTCATCATCTGCATTGGAACATACTATTGGTTAGGCATCTTGGACTTCCGTAATTTCAACTTGCAAAAAAAGCTTTAGCTATATAAATTTGTTGCATACCTACCACCACAGGCAACCATACTCAGATTTTGAGGATTGTAGAAAGATTTCAGCCTTCAAATATCAGTTTCTTTAAAGAGAGAGGCTAAGCAGTACACTTGCATACCTGGAAACAGCAACTTACTAGAGTGGAGTCACCTTTAAAATTCAGTGTGCCAAAGTAGAGTATTAACCCCAAAAGCTACAAAATAAATAACTTGACTGCAGGGTTCAGGAAAGTTATTTAATAAATAAAGATGCATTGTGAGAGACCCAATGTACAGTAACTTCTCTATTAAAAATCCCCGACATTTGTACAGAAAACTGAATAAATACCCTTTTGTGAATTTAATTTTTTTAACAAGTAAACAACATGCCCTTCCCTTCTGACTCCCAAATCAACACTGAAAGGGATTTAACTCCTCCAGACTGAAGGAGCGTGTGAAAGAAAAAATCCCCCACTTCATTTATTTGCACTGAGTGTAACAGTTTAAAAAGTGTCTCCCGCTCCTACCTCCCTTGTCCCAGAATTGCAGAAAGATTTTAATAATTTCACTGTGATGTGCTTCTGTTTTTACACAGGTCTGCTCATTTTACACACTGCATTCAAAAAAAATGAAGACTGAAGGCCTACTGTAACTCCAGCAGACTTTGGGATGAATTTACAGCAGAGCAAAAGGCCACAGGGATTCCAAAGACACTGGAATATGTGTTGAATCCAACACACACATTTGTATCTGCAAAACAAAGGCCCCAAATAGTAACTGCTTACAAGAACCATATTGTATTTTGCCATTCATCCAGGATTTCACTGAAGAGGCACTTCTTTCACTGAAAGAGTTTTAGATACTGGAGGTTCCATACAGACGTAGACAGGGTCGCTTTGAAAGAGGTGCAAAGGAAAAAAAATCCTCAAATGAGAAAAAAAATAAAAAAATCACTGTGGTTTCAACTCAGGGAAATGAAAATGGATGTTAGCAGCGTTTTGGGAACCCTCTGTGAAGCGAAACAATGCTGATGGAATGGTTGTGTGCAACTGTGATTCAATTTAAGAGGTTTTTAATTAGATTACTTCAAAGACATGTTTAGATAATACCTATGCAAACAGGTATATTTGATTTATGGCAGTGAGATAAATAAGACCTGCTGCCAAGAGAATAACTAACCTATTTTAATATAGTTATATGTTAAACAATAAATCTAAGCCCCGCACTTTATCTTGGCAAGTTTAATACAAAAAAAATTATTCTGCAGACTACAAGATGTTTAGAACCACCTGTTTACTAGAGCTTTCCTGATGAAGTCTGGGTTCGTTTCCAAGCTGAATGATGTGTTTTCATTGTAGAAACTTCTACACAGATAGAATAATTCAACTGGCCATTAAGTATTGATTTAACCCTCCAAAGAAAACTGCCACCGTTTGTTTTTCATATCATTATTTTCTTCTCATGCATCTGCTAGATAGCTGGTAGCAAACCATTTACCTAAAATGAAGTCCTAAAAAGCGCTACCTCAAATCCCAAGTTACACACCTTGCTTCCTTCCCAAAAGAACAGCTGCAGTCTCTGATCTATGTTCAGAGTAGAGTGGGATTCCAAAACAATTTAAACCAGAGATAAAAGCTATAAAGTGTGAAATAGTTGGGTGAATTGTCATTTACTAGGACTACAGGAACTAGACTTCATCAGACAATCCATCCCTTCTGCCCCACACCCGCTCCCCAAGGACCGTACAGCTTGGGGTACTCCAGGGGAAAGATCTCAAGCGCTTGTAGATGTGTAACAATGAAATTTGTGTTGGTCAAATTCAAGGGCAGATACTCAGCTGTGGCTTTAATATACATAAAATTACTGCAGTTTTCAAATCGGGCAGGGGGAGGTATATGTAGCTGGCAATACGCCCTTGTTCTCTGGGGAGAACATCAGTGGTACAACAGTAGAACCAGTATGACAATCATCAAAACCAGATCTAAAGTAAGCCCTTGCTTACACTACAGTAGCAAGGGCACAGGTTTTAATACAGTTTGGCTGAAACATGAGATAATTTGCCATACAGCCTCAGCAATACCATTACGCTGTTATGAACAGCAGAAGAATCAAGTGAATGCCTAAGTTTCATTCAAGCTGCAACATGCCTTTTAGAAAGGTGCTTAAAAGCTCAAATGACTCAATTTAATAAATAAATTTAAGCTGAACACTGCTAGTGCTGTGTGCATTAACACTGCTTCACATTCTTTCAAAGTAAATATATTGGACCTGGGAATACCTACAGTACCATAACCACGCTATCTGTCACCTTGGCCACACTCCCTTTTTATTTTAAAACATACACCTCTACAGGACTTGCTAAGAAAATTTAGCAATAAAACATATGTGTGTCACCATTGGCATTTTCATTTCATCCAATATCCAATCTACAGACAGACAGAACACATTAGAACTTCAGAAACCAGTCGTACCTTTGAAAGAACATCTAGCTTTAACACAGTTTGGTGTCCAGGGACACCTAACTGCAACAGATAAAAACTGATACAATACGGCTAAGATTAGGCTCCATCACCAGTCAGATAAGTAGGCACCATCAGAGTACCCTTTTGGAGAGGTGGGATGCAATAAGGCAAGAGTTTCTTTTCAGTTAAAATTAGTCTTCCGTAAATGCTTATTAGGAATTTCTATAGCGCTGACTTGAAGAGGCCAGGACCCACCAACAATTCCTGCTTGGATAGCTACTCCCGTTACAACTGCTAGGTCAGGATCTACAGAGGTGTTAGGCTCCTTTCCAAAGAAATCCTGAATAACTTTGCGTATCTGAGGTATCCGGGTGGAGCCTCCCACTAACACAATTTCATCCACTTCTGCTTTCTGGAGGTGGCCGTCCTTCAACACTTGTTCAATGGGCACAAGAATCTTCTCGAAGAGGTCCTCATTTAATGTCTCAAACAGCTTCCTAGAGATTTCTGTTTCAAACACAACTTTCATAAAGTTGTTCTCTACTTTTGAGGTGTCTCCAGGATTTTTCAAGTCTCCTGTTTTTTGTGAAGGCTCGTCTTTCACCACATTGTTTGGTTTTACCTCACTATCTGGAAGTTCTTTTGTAGGCTTCCTTTCTGGCATGGTCAACAACACCCTTAGCGTAGCTGTCTCATGAACAGTTAGATTTAACTTAACTGCTTCCACAGCCTGTCTGAGGCGATGTATTTCTTCTTTTCTTGTTGGCAGGGAGCCATACGTTTGATGGAGCTGATTGTATAAATACAGCATCAACCTCTGATTAAAATCCTGTCCTCCAAGTTTGTTGTTACCTGAAACATCAGAATAAAAGGCATCAGACACATCACTCTCAAAAGCTTCAGAAAGCAGTACACATCTTTTCATTTACTGGGAGATGGTGGTTGAGGGCCAGAACAATGACAGTAGGACCATAAGCATAGTGCAAGAGCAAACAGAGCTGTGAAAATAAATTTCATTAACTGTCCACTGAAAAACATGAGATAGGTAGTAATTTCCAGATTTTTATTTAGCAACAATTACAGAATCTACTCCCCTGAATGGTTTTCCCTTGGAACTGCTCTGCTACACTCTAACAGGAAAAAGCCATGGCTGTGAACTCAGAGGTATTTCTGAAGAAGAAACCATGTAATGACAAATTTCGAGCCAGAACCCTGTGATTGAAGTGCAATCTCTCACAGCAAATTGTTTTTCCAGCTAATTTCCCCCTCTGCCTGGAATGAGTTTTTCTCTTAGCACTTTCACAGTAGGGCTTTATCAGGATTATTGTCCTACCAGTTTCAAGTTATTCAACATCTTCATGCACGTGAAAAAACACATGCCACTGAAGTATATGTATATACCCCTGCCTAAAGCAGGAGAATATACATAACCAGTTCCTACTGAAAGGATACTCTTGCACCATGTTTCCAAAACCTTTTAAAACAATTGCTTTCCATTCAACAGAGCTAAAAAGAAATGACCTGCAGACTTTCACTCATGTTGAACAATATTCTCAAAGCTTTCACCATTTGGTTTTTTTTTTTTTTTTTGACTGAAAACAGGAATTCACTTAGTGGGTCTCTGTCTAAATGAAGCTGCTGAATTATGTCGTGCTGTTCACTCCTACTGGACTGAGCAGTAGCTCATATCAAAACTGAAGGCAACACAAGCAGTTAGCACTGCAGTCACAAACCTAATTGTGCATGAAAGGCAGCCGAGAACACATTCAGAGAACACTTTGCAACAAGGCTGGTACATTTTAAAAGCCCCTATAACGTGACTTTAGGTGCACCTTTTATTTTGCCCCCGCTCCCTGAGGAAGTAAAGAGTTTTTCTCACCTGCCATGGCTCGTGTGAGGAACATCCCTCCCTGCTTGTTCAACAGAGACACATCCAAAGTTCCTCCACCCAAATCCACCACCAGAACGTTAAACACATCAGCATTGTGGAGTCCATAAGCCATAGCTGCAGCTGTGGGTTCATTGATGACTCGCAAAATTTTTAGCCCTGCAAAGAGCAAAGATACCAAGCAAGAATCAGGTATATATCTGTGAAAAGTGCAGTTCTCCCATCATAATGACATTTACCATAAGCTGGTTGGTTGATTTTTTTTAGCAAATTTACCTCAAGTAAAATGTCAGATCTAAAGGAAATAGTTTTCTAAGCAGTAATACTCAATGAACTCTTTTCCATACTCAAGCCTGAAGCATCAGGGTGAAGTCATGAACCATGATTTGCCAAAACACAGTTCTTCTATAGAAATCTTGCTAAGGAGACTGACATGTTCTATTTCTGTTTAAATTACTGTCAGCGGGTGCTCTGGACCAACTCCCTATTTGAAGATTGCCAAAAAGATTATTTTCCCTGAAGCAAAACTTACTTCTTCTAGCTACCTACACCTGCATTAGTTCGCTGCACCTGTTGGTACCCAGGAGTTCTTTGCTGCTCCTCGCAACTAGTAATGGTCTGCAAAAACCAAGTATCGCTTCTGAGCCCCTCCATCACTGATTTGCTGTGCCTATACCCTCCCCAAAGACTTTACTGTTGGAGAAACAGACCTTAAGATTTCCTAGAAAAACACTAGGATAAGGATGCACCACCTGCAATATTAGCTGCCTTAATGGTAGAATTCCGTTGCCTTTCATCAAACTCTGCTGGCACAGAGATGACTGCCTTCGAAACAGGCATGCCAATATAGTCTTCCGCCATTCTCTTCAATTTCAGCAGTAGCTGCGAGCCAATATACTCTGGAGTGATGTGAAAGGTTTCATTAGTTGTCAAAGAAAACTCAGCAGATCCATTGTTGTTGAAAATCTAGGAGGAAAAAGCAACACGACCCACATGTAAGTAGCTGCCTTCTTATGCTTTCCCACCCTACTCCCACCAAATGTTTCATTTGCATATAGTCTGTGTATTCTGGAAAAATATAAATGTGCTTTTCCACTTCCTGTGTCACTTCTATTCCTTGACTATGAGTACTATGCAAAATGTGACTTAAGGGATCCAAGTATACCCAAAGTAGTGACGCTCTCTGTGCCCATGTAAGACACATTAGAAAACAAGAAGTTAAAACCTAGCAACTGTGTGAAAGCTTCAACATTCCATTCAAAGATAAAAGTAACGCTTTTTAATCATTAGACTTTTCATTTTAGACTATGAGGGGAGCTGAAGTTTCAGCAGCTTCACAGTAAGAATTTCAAGTTGAAATTTATCCTTTAAGAAAATGGGCTGGAAGGTTACCCAGACACAGATTTCACGGCAGAGGAACGGGTCCTCTGGAAAATCACTATCAGCTGTCATGCAGAAGTATACTGCTTCTACAACCGTTTCCTCCTCCCCTCTATGGATATCTTTTATGGTCTTCAGACATAATAAGATTCAGCCAAATGACTCGAGGTTAGACAAGCTAGTTACTTACTACATGTTTTAAGCATCCCATAGCTTACGGTTTGGAGAGAACTGAAGGAGAAGGCTACTCACCTTAAAGGGATACCTACTACTTTCACTTTTCAGTTCCTCTGAACTGAAGATTTTCCCAATGAATCTTTTTGCATCATATATGGTGTTCTGAGGGTTTGAGTCAGCCAGTTCTAGGCCATCGTATCCTACATAGACGCCTCTGTCTGTGAAAGAGACTATACTTGGAATGCTGTTGTGCCCATTTTCATCTGCAATAACCTTCACCAGCCCTGTTCCAGGAAGAAACACACCAACAGAGCAGTAAGTTGTGCCAAGATCAATCCCGATTACTTTTGGTGCAGGCATTGGTAAGTATTGCTGTGCTAGGTAGCCAGCTAACAGGAGAGCCAAAACAGCTGAACCTGAAACACAGTTTTAAAAAACAGGGTTAGAGTAGCTACTGCTGCAAACTTAAACTTACAAGCCAGTGAATAGTAACACTTATTTAATACATAACAGTATTATGCATTACACTTCATGTGGCTTTATTTCATGCCCTTAAGCCTGTTCAGCTACTCAATTACTTTCCAGTTTCCTTAAAGGTCACCAGCAAATTCAGGTCTCTTAATCCAAAAAAAGAGGTTAGAAGAGTCAAATGTCTCAGCCATTAAATGCTACAGTGACTTTTAAAGCCCAAGAGGTACAGCAAAATCGACAATATCACCACCCTGCAGTAATTCTTTTTCTCTGTTCAAGGTACTTCAGAAATAGGCTAATTAGTATTTGAAGAGGAACTGCCTATGAGTGACCCCTCCCTAAGGGACATCTAGTTAATGAGGCTGCACAAAATCACAGTGAAATGACAAACTCCCAACCCAAACATCTCCTCCAGCTTCAACAGAAGTCTAAACATAAGGAGATGCAAACCCATACCAACTCCTCCTGGTTCTGTCATAGCCCCCAGAGAGTACCTTCCCACATCTCTGAATCTTCTCTATGCCTTGAAATCAAGGGGTAGTTTAAGTGTGAAATACATTGCTTTTAAAATCTTAGTTTACATATATTCAACTGACAAAGCAAGAAACCGGAAAACCTAATAACGCCTCAGCAAAGGGGAAGGGGGGGGGGGGGGAAGAGAGAGGGGGAAACTCCAATAAACAAACAAAATCTCAAGAAGACCTCTAAACAGCTGAAGTTTCGAGCAGTGGATAAGCCCTGTTCCCCAGCAGGGTAGGGCGGGCACAGCTGTACGCAGACCAGTGACAAAAGAAGAGTTTACATTCAGCCGCCAATTTCGCAAGACCTTTCTTCGCAATCCGGCGCTGAGCGCCTAGGCCCTCCCAACAGGGCGACACTCCGCGCCGGCCGCAGGGAACCCCCCGCACGGCTCCGCACGGCTCCGGCAGCCCCACCAAGCCTCGCGGTGGGAGTCAGCGGCCTCCGCAAAGGCCCCAGCCCCGGCCCCAGCCCCGGCCCCAGCCCCGGCCCCAGCCCCAGCCCCAGCCCCAGCCCCGGCCCCGGCCCCGGTGACGGGACGTGCCTGAGCCCCGCCAAGCGGGCGCCACCACGGGTGCAGCAGGAGCCAGCAGCGTTCCGCCGCCGCTCACCTCACCCCCTGGCACCATCCCCTCAGCCGCCCAGGCGCGGACAGGCCCCCGGCCCTGCTCACCCAGCACCGCCATCTGCCCAGCCATCGCTGCCAGCCGGCCCCGCGAGCACCGCCTACCCCGACTGCTGACGACTCCTTCCGGGGGGCGGGGCGGGGCAGGACCGCTGTACGCGCGTTCCACCCGTCCTACCCAAGCTGGAGTACTGTAGTGGAGCGGAAAACCACAACTCCCAGAGGGCAGAGCGGCACGGCCGTTTCCGGCTGACCAGCCAATGGGCTGAGAGAAAGGTCATCCAGGTAGTGAGAGGCTCTGGGTCATGCCTCCCGGAGCGACGGCTGCTGGGAGTGGTAGTTGTGTTGGCGGCCATGGCTGTGGAGGGCCCTCCGCGGTGCCCGGGGCGGTAAGGACCGGCAGCCGCTTCCCTCCCGCCACAGCTCCCCCATCCCCTGGGCACGGGCGGGCAGCACGCAGCGGTGCTGGCAGCAGGGACGCTTCCTTTCCCAGCCAGCAGGCAGGCTCCTGCCTGCGTGAGGCGTTAGAGACCGTAGATGTGGCACTGCCAAGTCAGCACACAGTAACGCTGTTAAGCATTTAAAAGCAATTATCGCGATTATTGATTATTCTTTATCATTATTGCTGGCACCCAGTAATAATGATAAAAACACTCGGAAACACTCAGCGTTTGAAAGCCTTCCGCCGAGGCGGCAGCTGCCCTCACAGCCCCGGCGCTGGCGTTCATGGGAGAGCCACCGCTGCCGCACAACACAGCGGGGGCTGCTGCCGGCCGGGCAGTCTGTAGGCGCGCCGGCTGCTGAGGGGAACGGCCTTTGCCCTGGACGAGGAAAGCCCCTGCTCAGGGACCTGACCTGCCGTTTGCTGCCAGCGCCGGTCGTGGCGCCAAGACCGAGACCTCCCGGCACCGGGGAAGGGGCTTTGATCCAACACGGCGTTAAGCTGGAGCAGAGGGTTTGTGTTTCATCTGCTCTGTGATGCTGTCTCCAGAGAGAGCGGCTGGGTCTCCTGCGCTGAGGCTGCACATTCCCTTTTAAACACACTTAATCTCCTCTCCCTGAAGTGCTCTAATGAGTTTTGCAATTTATCAGCGTTCTTTCAATGCTACGGTTCAACAGCGAGACAGCCACGGCAGCTCTTTATCAGTGGTGAGGGGAGAGTTCCTTCTTGCCCGCCTGACATTTAGACAAGGAGAACACAGATGAAACTAGACCCTTGAATACGTAGACTTCCTCCTCGACGAGCACACTTACCTAGCCCAGGAAATACAGCAGAAAGTACAGCGTGGGTTGCTTCTTGTCAGCTCTCCCTCTGCTAACCTCTGCTCTCATAAGGAGGAGCAGATTTTCAGGTTCTTGCAGATGAGGTTTCTGTTTCAGGCAGGAATTAATGGTGAGAATCTAATGTTTCCTTAATGCAATTTAAGATTTTTTTTTTTTTTTTAAATAGACAATGGGCATAAATGGATAGCTGATAACAATAGCATAGTGGAAGAAAAGTTAGGCTAAGTTCCACTGCAGTTACCATCTCTAGCATGTTTGTTTCTCCTAAGTGATGGAAAGGCACATAACCCAGAAGTAATTTCCAGGAGCTTGCTTCTTACAAGTTTCTTCTTTATGCCAAAAGCAGCACCACTTTAAGTTAATAATGAAAATGTGTGCATCCTCCATTTTATGGTTAAGATAGGTACAGTGATGTGGTTCATACTCAGCACAAGAAGGCAGAAACTCCCCAGTAAGCAAAGAGAAGGTTGAATCTTCTTAATGAGTCATGATCTGATTGTTTTCTAATGATGTTTCTAATTTCTTTTCCATACATATGACTTGGATACTTTAATCATGTTTCTTGAAGTGGGACCATTGTTATCATGATCATTCTTAAGTTATTTAAGTGGGGGAAAACTTGTAATCATTGTTTACACTATTTCCTCACTTGTATAACTCTAGAGCAGGCACTTTGTATTTTATACAACTGTCAGTGGATGGTAAGCATTAAAAAAAAAAAGAGGTTTAGTGTAAACAGGGCATACAATTAAAGTGGATTTTGCTCATAATCTTGATATTTAATGGCAACCTGATACTTTAATATATAGGGACCGTGTGAAATATCGCACTAAGCAATGCAGATATGTAGGGATGCTTTTTTAAAAAAACACTGATACAAAAGCTCATTTCAGAGATTTCTTCCTTTTCTAAAGCATACGTCAGGCTCTGTTTTTTGTCCTTGAGGTTAAAAGACATTGTGATCTTTTGATAACGTACTTGCTGAAGGTCAGAATTCAAGTGTCTATATAGTTTCCATTCTGTTTCTTCATAACAGAGTTTAGCGTATCAGTCAAGGACTGCACACCTGAATCAGGCTCCCCAGAGGCCCCGCTGTTCCCTGCAAAGTCACACAGGCTGCCTGCCTGCCTGGAGTCAAATCAAGGAGGGAGCCTCGGCAGGCTTCTTGTTGTGCAGCGAACGTGTATCATGCCAGAAGCTTCTTTGGAAGCCACCACCCTCCCTGTAGCTGTTTTTGGCTTTTGTGCAGTTTGAAGGCTGGATCCATTGTACATACTCTGTAGTCCCTCAAAGGCAACACTGGATCTTCAGGACGCATGTTCAGATGAAGTCAGAAGTGCCTAATTTTTCCCCTACATCTGCTCTATGACCTATCAGGACCTGCTCATGGATACTCCTGGTCTCTGCACAGAGATGCCAGACTTCTTTTGCATCTGCAAAATCAGAAGAAGTAATCCTAGTGAGCTTGCTTTTGGTTTTTTTTGAACATTCTCAAAGTGTCTCCTCTGTCAGCTTCTTTTACTTACTCTTGCACACCTCTCCTCCAGGAGAGTGAGACCTGTTTCCATTTTCTTCTCTTATCTGAGGAACTGCTACAACCAGGAGTGGGTTGTTCAGGAACAGAAGGGAACATTCAGAGCTTCTGGAGAAAATGGCTTGATTTTGCACAGAATAATTAAATATTCATTGGTCAATAGAGGGAAGAGGTTATTTTGCTGGGACAGGAAAGCTATGGGTGGCCCCTACAGATTGCCTGATGGGGCATCAGTGTGGTTAGAGGCAGACACTGGTCTTTTTTTCCTGAAATAGCATGCTTTAGCTACTTCCCTGTGGCAGGGCATATACTTGAGCATCCTCCCCTGAGGGTCGGCAGTGCAAGTGCAGACCCATACTACACCTTTGAAAAAGCTTCACAGAATGTAGCTGAATGAGAGTAAGCAAGGTGCTGCAATGACATGGGCTACTAGGGCAGCTGCTTCTGGTATCTGCTGGTTTGGGTACCTAGGCTGTGCTGGCTGCATAGCGTCAACCAGCCCTTGGTGACCACCCACCTGGCCCTCAACACTCGCCTGCCACTAACTTGAGTGGGAAGTGGGCATGCAGCTAACTCCCTCTGAGGGTCTTGTAGAAGTGCTTGTTTACCCCTATTAGTGCATCTGTTCACTCTAGTAGAAAGCTGTTTGTAACATTTCAAAAGGTTTTTGTGGATTAATTTCCTTCGAGGGGCTGTTGTTTTCCTCTGGTGCTTTGATAGGTGGAGGTAAACATGGTTTTGTCTGTAAGTAGCTTGAGGGAGAGAGTTGTTCTTAAAATGTAAGAGCAGAGGCTGGTTTTAAAACAGTCTCCCATCAGATGTGAACTGGTGTCTGCAGGAAAAAAACCCTGCTACACTGGGGAGTAATGCTGAAAATGTAGACCTGTGATGTGCTAAATGCAGTTCAAGCATTCGGTGTGTGTGTAATCAAATACAGCTTGTTCTCATTTGTAGCATGCTTTGCATCAGCTGTATTCCCACATTTGGAGAAACGGGATTTGAGTTTGTAGAGCCATCTTTTCTGTCATCATGCAAAACAGGCTTCCTCTTTCCTAGGGTATACTCAGTGAGTGCTTTCTGCACTGTCTCAGTCGTTTTCATGCCAGTGTCCAAAACTGAAACACAGGGTGTAGGGATATGGCCAGAGCAAAGTGTGGTCCCAGCAACCCAGTATGAACACACAGTTTCCCTCTGTGAAGGAGGAAAGGGTAGAGGAAGTTGGATCCACTTCTTAGGGGGAGAATGTAGTCAATGTCTCTATGAGAAGGGAGGTGATTTATTTAGATGCAAAAATCTGAAACCTCATTTTCAGTTTTTTTTTTTTTTTAACTTGGAGAAAAGCAGGTTCTTAGCCTTAGTGCAATCCCATCATCTAAATTAGGGAGAATGTCACTGATAGTTCCCTTCCCTAACTAAAACATTGATCTTCTCCTGTTGTATATGGTTGAGCAAGGGAAGGATGTCACCAGAGCCCAGTCGTCCTCTGACAGACAGTTCAATGTCAGGCAGCTGGGAGTATAACCTTCAATTTAGATGCAAAAGTTTCTATTTAAATTCCAGCACGTAGCTTAAGGATTCCTGGCTCCCGTTGAGTGGCCGACTGGCCGTCGCCAAGTAAGTGTGCGCTGAATTCCTCATCAGCCAGAAACCCATTCCCCAGCCCCAGGGGCAGCGGGAGCAGCTCGGTGTTGCTCCGAGGATTCATAGCCCCGAAGAGCTGAACCAGGAGGCGAGAGACCAAGTACAAGAAGCTTCCACCAGATGTCTCTGCCATGCAGCGTTGCTTCCGCTGCCCGCTTTCGGCGCTTGACAGCTACCTGCGAATACATATAAAGCATATTAACCTTTTGCAATCGTTATCCAAATTCTTGTAAAGGCATAAGTCATGGAAACGGTGTCTCATTTTTCATCACGGTTTATTTAATTGCCTTAACATACGCATTTCACTGAACCCTCATGAAATCATTTTGAGGTTAACAATGAAATTACTATTTCCCCTTTCATGAATACAGTTGCAGTGATAACATTATAATGTAACCCAGTAACTGTCCAGGAAAAACCATCTGGAAGAGAAATGAGATTTTCACTGATCTTGCTCCCACTTCTCTACTTGAATTTCAGTTGGTCTGCATGCTGACACATCTTGCTGTGGTGTGAAAAAGAAAAAAAACAAATAAAAGTGGAGACCTTCTATGGAAGAAACAAACTAGGTTTGGCACTTACTGGTCTGATAACAGAATTTATCTTCCTGCTTCACCGTAGTGCCATTTTGGGTAGG